TATATCCCCACCCAAATCTCATCTTGTATTGTAGCTCCCATAATTCCCATGTGTGGTGAGGGGGACCCAGTGGGAGTTAATTGAATTATGGGGGCAGTTACCTCCAAGCTGCTATTCTCGTGATAGTGAGTTCTCACAAGATCTGATGGTTTTATAAGGGGCTTTTCCCCCACTTCACTCTGCACTTCTCCTTGCTGCTGCCATGTGAAGAAGGTAGCATTTGCTTCCCCTTCCACCATGATTATAAGTTTCCTGAGGCCTCCCCAGCCATGTGGAACTGTGAGTCATTTGAACTTTTTTATAAATTACCGAGTCTCTGGTATGTTCTTATAGCAGCATGAGAACAGAGTAATACAGAGGACCTGCTTTGATACTGGATAGTCCTGTGAGCAAGTTCTGAATTTATCATCTCACACCTCCTGCCCATGTACAAGTTACTTACTCTGTCCTAATCTGTCTCTTTATCTGTAAAATGGAAAGAATAATATTGGCTTCATAGAATTGCTGTGAGGATGTAATAAGATTTTGGATACTAAGCACTTAGCTTATAGTACTTACTCAATAAACACTGACTATTTATTACTACTGTGTGCTGTATCACAGGGAAGTTGTGGTGGTCAGATGAGATCATTGGCATTCAGATATTTAGAAAAGTTAAACACTTAAGAACTTTCTTCCAAAGGACTTTGTTGCTGAGTTTTCAGGCCCATTCCATGAATGGAACTAACTCTCATATTAGTGCACTTCTGCAAAAATGATGAGGTCTTTTGTTATTGTTTTTATTGAGGAATAACATATATAGTAATGTACATAAATATGAGTGTGCACAGCTCGATAGGTTTTTAATATGTGAATGACATGTTACTACCAACCAGATCAAGATATAGAACATGATCAGCACCCCGGAAGATTCCCTCATACCCTCTTTCAGGTAATATTTATTCCCCAAAGGTAACCCTTACTCTTCCTTCTGTCACCTAAACAAATCTTTCCTTGGACAATATTTTTATTATTATCTCTAGAATTAATTGTATTATGGAAAATACCAGTTTATAAGCCTCATTCTCTGAATATGATCACTTTAAAATTAGGAGATACGTACTTCATTGCTTAGACCCAACCCAAAAGCTCCATCTGACTTCCTGGCTTTGGACAGTGTTGACATGTCCTCAGGGCATGCCCTGCACTGGGCTATTCACTTGGAAGGAGACAAACGCCTAGGAAGCCTAGTTTCACCCTCAGAGAGCTAGTCTAACTAGAGAAAGAAGCCTTAAAATGGAACACCATCCCTAACAGCAAATGAATCCATAAAAAGCATGTCTCAGGGAGCAATCTCATGTTTTCCTGTTTTCGACCCTCCTGAAGACACTGTTTGGCATTGGTATTTCCCAAGAGGATGCCCAGATTAACCACCTCCCACACAGTTGGGTCCTTTGCTTTGGGGTCACTAGGACGGGGAAAGCTTGCTGCCTTGCCATCTGCTATTGCGTCACAGGTGTCTGTGAGGTCTCTCAGGTAGGACATGGTTTCCTTTGGACACATTAATGAGGACTTCCACAATTCCTAGTGAAAAGAGGGCAAAGGGTGGCCAATGCCTATGTGCTTGTTCCAAGATGTATTTTATCAGGGCATGCAACCCAAGTTCTTCCTGCAGGTCACTTGTCTGTAAGACAGTGCACACACTGGGAGCAGTTAGCAAGCACGCAGTCATCACCATATGCACCATGAAAACACTTATGTGCAGTATTGGTAGTTGTGGAGCTTGCATTTCTTTAAAAGACAGAATGGCATTTAATCACAGTTATTGCCATCCAAGGAGCTGGTGGAACATAAACTGTTCTGTATGGTTGCAAGCACATAAGCCTCTTGAGCTTTGTCACAAAGTTTTCTGTGCTTTATGAGAACAAAAGATGAGACATTTTATTCTTCAAAAATGGGGGACTCCAAGGCAAACCACAGATTAATCACAAAGGAGAAGAGGAATAAGCAGTTTCACCGTGCATCTCTGGTCATTTTGCTGAGGATTTTAAAAGAGAAAATGGTGTGCTAACGCAATGCTTCATTTCACATTATTGCATGTCATCCATCATTTTGTATAGTTACGTATTCATAACATTCACCTCTATCTAATTAAGTGAAAAATTTTTGTTGTAAGTAATTAAGTATTTTTTAATAGGCCAGCATTCTCAAAGATCATACTTTGCCTATAAGGGGACTTCAAGGTGTTGTCTGGAGTTTTGGAGTTTAAGGTATATATTATCCTTGTGGGATTATGTAAACTCTCATATTTGTGGGAATATAAATGAGCAAAACTATTTTGAAAAGCTTGATTTTACCAAATAAAGTCTGAAATTGCCTATACATAGATCCAGCAATGCAACTTTTACATATACCCTGGAGTGGTGGTTCCAGACTTTAATGTGAACCAGACTTTAATGTGCACCATAATCCCTTAGAGGGTGTGTTCAAACACACATTGCTGAGTGACACCCCAGAGTTCCAGATTTAGCATATCTGGAGTGGGACCATAGACAGTTTGTACCTCTAGCAGGTTCCCAGGTGATACTGATGCTGCTGGTCCCAGAACTACACTTTAAGAACCACTGTCTCAGGGAGACTTGTATACGTACATGCTTGTAAGGAGACATAAGCAAAATTTTTCAAAAACATTGTTCCTAATAACCCCAAGTTAGAAACAACTCAAATACCATCAACAGTTCAATGAGGAAATGAACTGTGGTATATTCATACCAAAAACCCCTACTATATAGCAATCAAGAGGAATGATCTACAGCTACCTGCCTCAACAGGATGAATCTCATTAAGTGTTGGTGAACAAAATAAACAAGGCAAGAAACAGTATCCATAATGTGATTCCATCTGTTTGCATCCCAAAACAGGAAAAACAAAATCATATTCTTTATAAATGCATGGATAGATGGTAAAACTATGAATAAAATCTGATAAGTCATCATTGCAAAAGTCACACTAGTAATTATCTGGGGCTAGGAAGAGGGAAGAATACAGGTGGTTTCTCAGGTACTAGCAATAGTCTACATCTTAACTTGGCTTAACTTGGCTATTAGATATGTTGGAGTTGGACTTATGGTTATTATTTAGACAGAACATTTATATTTATACACATCTACATAGAATACATCTTATAAGTTTTTAAAAAGTTCTTAAGAATCATTCTATCTTTTAAAAATAATGTCCTCTATCTGGTATGTATTCTGACTCTTTGACAGCTTGTTTGAATTTTAGGATCTTCCCATTTGTTATGAAAAATTAAATCTCAAGCTTTAATAGATGGTTTAATTATTCTGCTGGGTCAACTATTTAAATGAAAGAATTTTTGTTACTGTCAAATACATTTGAGATATGGACTAGCTATGAACAAAGTGTTACAGAGTAAAAGACCTATAAGGCCTAATTGGAGAACAGATTAGATCTTGTACAGTTAGTATGTTTACGATCTGTGTAATAAGTCATGGCAGGCCCTAGTAGATCACCTTTTAGATGTTGTTCATATCTATGAACATATACATAATGGAAGAGATTGATGGCTGTTGCCATCAAATACATTACAACTGATTTAGATAATTTCCCCTATAAAAATTGCGTGACTACAAGAATGAAGATTCTTATGAACTATTTTCTTTTGGTGACAGGAGAGTCATTTTTGAAATCTTTGAAAAGAAGGAAGGACTGAATGTGTCTGTTGATTATATTGTGATGTTCTTTTGCCTCCAAAAAATGAGGAGTTAGGGACATCTGCAACTCTGTGAGGATACCAGGAACGCTCATTTCTGTTTCATAATGCTTACTCTGTTTTATCCTGATATTATAGTCTTGCTTTTAAATGTATTGGACTGAATCTCTTTCTTTACATTTTTAGTGTGTCCTGTACAAACAATTCTTAATCATTTTTTTCACCATACATTTCCTTGCGGCATGGTCTGCATGTCCCCTATTTGATGACAGTGTGGATTCTGAATTTGCACCTCCCACATGCTAAATTGACAGCTGCATAACCTCAAAATGCATTCTGGCAATGATGAATGCCAATATTTTATGATGACAGCCCAGGAATTTGATTGCAGCTGCCCAGTGATATGAGTGCTATCTTTATTATTTGGTGAGTTAAACAGACACATTAAGTACATTTGTTGTAAATACTAGACTGTAAAAGAATGTATTTCTTACTTATTATAGTGAACAATGAGAAACAACCAAAATGTTCATCAATGGAGGAATGGTTAACTCAATTACAATATAGCTATAACATGGAACTCCCCACAAAGAAAGTAGCCTGACCTGTGTCAGGCTCCCTGTGAAGAGCTTTATATGTGTTGTTTCATTTCATTCTCACAACAAGCTTGTGAAATTCCCATTTTATTCTGGATATTAGCCCTTTGTCAGATGAGTAGATTGCAAAAATGTTCTCCCATTCTGTAGGTTGTCTGTTCCCTCTGATGGTAGTTTCTTTTGCTGTGCAGAAGCACTACCTGACTTCAAACTATCCTACAAGGCTACAGTAACCAAAACAGCATGATACTGTTCTATGGACTTCCAAATCCATTTTCTTATCCAGTTGTACTCTCCTAGCTCATGAATGTCAAAGCTATATATGCTGTTAATTCTCTTCTCATGGAGATTTGGTTCAAGATGAACATTAAGTTATGTAACCACAGAGAAGAGGAAGAGACTTAGATAATAGTAAAATTACACCTATCTAAATGTCAAAGCTAAATTACTTCCAAAGGAGGTACGTTTCCTATACCTTCCATGACTGAAAGGAAATTCAAGAATATACACCAAAATTCTGGTGATATGTGCTATCCAAGTCAGGATTTTCATGTATTCTCAGAGCTGTTACTTGTTTAAAATGTCAAATTATAAGTGAAGTAAGAGAAAAGCCATACTTTTGCTCAAATGTAATTATTGATACTGTAAAATATCACTTATATGTTTATCTTTATAACTTCTCCTCCTTTTAATATTTATAGATGGACAAAAGAGAAAGAAATCTTTAAGAAAGAAACTGGATTCACTAGGAAAGGAGAAAAACAAAGACAAAGGTAAAAGATAAAGTAACTAATGTAAATGCATCTTCCATGGAGCATAATGGTTAAATTTGGTGGGGTTATTGAATTGCGTAGGTATACATGGTTCAACTCTGTTATGAAAACTGGATTTCTACAATGAAATGTCATTAAGGGCTGTTTTGGTCTACTCTTCTGTGTTTGAGCAACCCTGTACTGAACTGATGAATTCAGCTGGTTTGAGGAGAGTGTGACCTCAGCCAAGTTTATGGTTCCAATTATTATTTTGACCAATCAGCTATGCATAAAGAGGATCTGGGTTGAGAAGCCATGGACAGCATCTCTAACGCTAACCAGCTGTCTGGCAAATCCAGACAGGCAGGGTTAGTTGAATGAGAGTTTGAATTCACCTACCATGACTACTGGAAAGAAACAGTCTCATCCTCATGGGTTACTGAAGAAGATAGGCCATTCTCAGCATTTTTTTTTTCGCCCAGTTGAAAAATATTTATTTGTAACCAACGTGAATGCTTATGTTTTACCTTGTTACATTGCCTCAGCCAAGACAGGTTAAAGCAAATGCCCTTAATATTTTGGGGGTCACAGAGCCCTTTAAGAAGCATTGACAATGATGATGCTTTATCAAAGGCCTGAAACTCACCCAATGCCCACCCTGCCACCCCCTAAATTAAAAATTCCCAGATTAGATATTCACTTAAGTATTTTCCTTTTTAAAAATCCAGGAACATTAGGGAATTGTCAGTGGCTATTAGTCTTTTTTCATTTTCTTTCTTTTTTTTTTTTTTCTTGAGGTGGAGTCTTGCTTTGTCGCCCAGGCTGGAGTACAGTGGCACGATCTCGGCTCACTGCAACCTCCACCTCCTGAGTTCACACCATTCTCCTGCCTCAGCCTCCTAAGTAGCTGGGACTACAGACGCCTGCCACCACACCTGGCTAGTTTTTTGGGGGGTTTTTTTTGTTTGTTTGTTTGTTTGTTTTTGTATTTTTACTAAAGACAGGGTTTCACCATGTTAGCCAGAATGGTCTGGAGCTCCTGACCTCGTGATCCGCCCACCTCGGCCTCCCAAAGTGCTGGGATTACAGGCTTGAGCCACCGCGCCCGGCCTAGTATTTTTTTTAAACTCTTGTTTTAGGTTCAGGGGTACATGTGTATGTTTGTTAAATAGGTAAATTTTGTGTTGCAAGGGTTTGTTGTACAGATTATTTCATTACCCAGCTAATCACCATTGTACCCAACAGGTGGTTTTTCAATTCTCACTTTCCTCCCACCCTCCACCCTCAAGTAGGCCCCAGTGTGTCTTGTTCCCTTCTTTGTGTCCATATCAACATGTTTAGGTTCCACTTGTAAGTGCATTCTCAGCATTTTTTTTTTGTACAACAAAATTTTTTAAAATATATATAAATGAAATATAATGGTTGAACATGAGAGGGCGATTTTTTTTTTATTATACTTTAAGTTCTAGGGTACATGTGCATAACGTGCAGGTTACATATGTATACATGTGCCATGTTGGTGTGCTGCACCCATTAACTCATCATTTACATTAGGTATATCTCCTAATGCTAACCCTCCCCCTTACCCCCTCCCCACAATAGGACCTGGTGTGTGATGTTCCCCTTCCTGTGTCCAAGTGATCTCATTGTTCAATTCCCACCTATGAGTGAGAACATGCGGTATTTGGTTTTCTGTTCTTGTGATAGTTTGCTGAGAAAGATGGGTTCCAGCTGCATCCATGTCCCTACAAAGGACATGAACTCATCCTTTTTTATGGCTGCATAGTATTCCATGGTGTATATGTGCCACATTTTCTTAATCCAGTCTGTCACTGATGGACATTTGGGTTGATTCCAAGTCTTTGCTATTGTGAATAGTGCCACAATAAACATACGTGTGCATGTGTCTTTATAGCAGCATGCCTTATAATCCTTTGGGTATATCCCCAGTAATGGGATGGCTGGGTCAAATGGTATTTCTAGTTTTAGATCCTTGAGGAATCGCCACACTGTTTTCCACAATGGTTGAACTAGTTTACAGTCCCACCAACAGTGTAAAACTGTTCCTATTTCTCCACATCCTCTCCAGCACCTGTTGTTTCCTGATTTTTTAATGATTGCCATTCTAACTGGTGTGAGATGGTATCTCATTGTGGTTTTGATTTGCATTTCTCTGATGGCGAGTGATGATGAGCATTTTTTCATGTGTCTGTTGACTGTATGAATGTCTTCTTTTGAGAAGTGTCTGTTCATATTCTTTACCTACTTTTTGATGGGGTTGTTTTTTTCTTGTAAATTTGATTGAGTTCTTTATAGGTTCTGGATATTAGCCCTTTGTCAGATGAGTAGATTGCAAAAATGTTCTCCCATTCTGTAGGTTGTCTGTTCCCTCTGATGGTAGTTTCTTTTGCTGTGCAGAAGCACTACCTGACTTCAAACTATCCTACAAGGCTACAGTAACCAAAACAGCATGGTACTGGTACCAAAACAGAGATATAGACCAATGGAACAGAACAGAGCTCTCAGAAAGAGTACCACACATCTACAGCCATCTGATCTTTGACAAACCTGACAAAAACAAGAAATGGGGAAAGGATTCCCTATTTAATAAATGGTGCTGGTAAAATTGGCTAGCCATAAGTAGAAAGCTGAAACTGGATCCTTTCCTTATTCCCTATACGAAAATTAATTCAAGATGGATTAGAGACTTAAATGTTAGACCTAAAACCATAAAAACCCTAGAAGAAAACCTAGGTAATACTATTCAGGACATAGGCATGGGCAAGGACTTCATGTCTAAAACACCAAAAGCAACGGCAACAAAAGCCAAAATTGACAAATGCATTCTCAGCATTTTTATGTTAGATCACAGTATACTACTCATCTTTTGCTTTGTATGTTTTGGGGATTGTTTACTCTCATCATACTGTTTTGTGTCCCCTTGTGTGTCTATTTAGGGAACTAAAACTTTAGCCACTCTCTCAGAGGTATTTATGGTCATTTAAAACTGATATTCTTTGAGCCCACATAATGGACACTTGAGCCCCATTGATGCAGTCCAATTTTTTGTGCCTTTTTTTTTTTTTCAAGACAGAGTCTTGCTCTGTCACCCAGGCTGGAGTGCATTGGCACAATCTCGGCTCACTGCAACCTCCACTTCCTGGGTTCAAGCAATTCTCCTGCCTCAGCCTCCCAAGTAGCTGGGATTACAGGCGTGCACCACCATGCCCGGCTAATTCACCGTGCTGGCCAGGCTGGTCTTGAACTCTTGACCTCATGATCCGCCTGCATCGGCCTCCCAAAGTGCTGGGATTATAGGTGTGAGCCACCGCACTTTTTGCTGCTTATTTTTATGGTCTGTTATGAAGTGGTTGCTAAATGGTACCACGTATGCATTTATTTTCATTTTATGTGACACAGTCAATGAGTCTTGAATGAGAACAGCCATACACATCTCATCTTGGAGTCCTTTTATATAATGATATAATTTCTGCCTTAAAAGTAATGGAAGGCGATGAAACCAAGGGTATTAAAAAGTGCATTGGGATCAGTATTGGACAAGAGCTATTCCATACCATTGATCTCAGTCTCTACACCTATATCTTGAACAGTCATGACATTTGGTTCTTTAGACTAAAAGAAGTGAAGAATTCTAAAGAATGGAAAACCATTGTTTTACTTCCTTTGGAGTGAGGTTTCTCAACCTTGCTACTATTGTCATTTTAGACTGGATAATTATCTGGAGTAGGGGCTATCCTGTGGATTGTGAGATGTTTAGCAGCATCCCTGGCCTCTACTCATTAGATGCCAGTAACACCACCCTCAACCCAAATATCTTCAGACATTTCAAATGTTTACCTCAAATTGGAAAAAAGAAGGTGAAAGTGTCAGTGATCCCCACCCCTGACTACACAATAGAATCACTTGTGGACCTTTAAAAAGTCCAAGACCCCCACCCCAGGGAGTCTGAGTTGATTGTTCTGCAGGGATACCTCAGGCATGGGTGTTTTTAAGAGCATCTAATGTGCAACTTCTAGGATGAGAACTCTGATCCATATTAACTAGGATACTCACCAGGGCATGTTCTGTCACAGCAGAATCTACTGCTGGAATAATGAAGGCTAAGGGTGGTCCAGCTACCTATTATAGTCTGATAAATTGTGTTATATTTAATTGTTGATATGTTTGTGCCCTTATTTTTGTAATGACCTAAATATTAATAGCCAGCATTGCTCTTTTAAACTAGAGTTTTTGCTCATTCTATTCCTGCAGTAGAGCACTTTTACGTCTCCAGATTAGAGCAATTTTCCATGTGTATAGAGCATATTAAAGGGATCACTGAGGTTGATATTAGTAATGTATTCTCTTTTAAACTTGGTTTATTCTAGGGTGATGATATTGATATTGGGATTTAAATACATCTAATCTGGACTTTAGGTGATTTTTCAGAAAGTATCCATTTGGCTAGACTAAGCAGAGTGAGCATATTTGCAGGAGGTTCCTCAACAGAATGATGAGATGTTCCCTCAACAGAAGAAGATGTATGTTTGCTTACATATATTATATATTCAAAGCAGCGGGAAGCAAGAATTTGAATTAAAATGGAAGGAAGGGCCAGGGAAGTAATCGAACAATACATACTGGGCCATTATAGATTTTTAAAACTAAATCATATTTACATAGGCTTAGTGAAAACTGAAATGTTCTATACTGCCTCAAAGGTAGCTAAGTGGGAAGAGGAAGGCAGGTCCTGGTGGTTCCAAAGAAAAGATGTATCACCCACCCAACTAAGGGGGAAATATCAGGCTTCGTGCCAAAGAAAAAAAATTAAGTAGCTTTAATGTTTAAAAACAAAGTAACCTAGGCTTAAGTGAAGGTTAATTACATGGCATCTTTTCAGAACTTAAAGCCCTGTCCATGTCAACACTGGGAGTCATTGCATGGATGTCCTGGGAACCAGGGTGTGAGGATGAGGTGGAGGGTGCCAGTCTGGCACAGATGTAATCTATTCACATAATTTCCTTCCAGTTGGATATTAGCATTTGGGTTTGTAACAGCTGCACATGTGAAAAATGGTCATTTGAAACCAAGAGTAAAAGAAGGAAAACAGGAAACTAAATGATCTCCTGAGTTAGGTAATCTAAAAATAAACAGAAGCAGCCTTTTAGAATTGAATTGCTCTCCCAATAGTGATTCATAAATGGTTGATATGCTACCATATTAATTGATTTCATCAGAATGAATCATGTCCTGTATGTTATTTAATTGCCTTGATATATAGCGGATCATGTGACACTCCTATGTTCCCCATGCCACTTAAGCAGTGCCCATGTGACTTTTGATTTACATATGGAGACTAATTCAAGATTGACACTAATCAGAAAACATATTTTCATACAGAATAATTCCAAGTCTTTAATTTCTCTTAGTTATATTTCTTGACACCAAAAGAGTTTTTAAAATTTTCAGAACTTCTGAAAATTTCTTTGTGTCAAAAGTAATTTTAAAATTAAGTAATTTTAAAAATAGCTACTTTGTTTTATTAATGGGCTTCCTAAACTGAGCACATGGGGAATAGGTTTTTACTATGATGTAACTCTGGGAGATTGTACCCCCAACAACCCTTGCCAGGATATTTTCAGATTATGCCATATATGTATCCACATACATATGTGTATCTGGAAAGAGTTCAAGTCTGGCACCGTTCTTTATGGTGAAATCATATTGTATCATGTTTTATTTTCCTCACTGTCTAGGTATGTCACTGTATGTGAGCTGTGAAGTAACACTAGGTACAAATAGCTCATACAACTTTTAATTTTGCTCCATATTAAATAGCAGAGCAGTCAAGTTATCAGATATCACTATGCAGAAATTATCAAAGAACATATATTGAATGTTGTCATTGAGTGGTAGTACTTCTAGGATAAGAAGAGAGGAAAGAACCAGGGAGTGTGTGGTTTCTGAGAAGGTTAGGAAGGGGCCAGCTCACACAGTACTGGGCCACAGCATGACTTTTGATTTGGAAGTTCAGGAGAAAGATAATGGTACCTTAGACTAGGGTGGGAGTGATAGTGGAAGTGGAGAGAAGTGAATGGAAAAAAGAGATAATGTGAAAGTGACATGATAAAGATTTGATGATGGAGTGAAAATGGGATGTAAGAAGGAATAAAGTATCAAGGATGACTCTCAGATTTCTGGTTCTCCCACATGAAGAACAGGCAAACTTTTGGAAATCTGAGTAAGATCTTGTAAGGGAAGACGAAGAGTAAGAAATGCCTTTGGGACATCCAGATAAGAAGGTGGAAGAAGTGGTTAGTGCTCAAAGAAGGGGTCTGAGCTAGAGGTAGCAATAAGGTGTGAAATGTGTATGGATGGAAGTTTAAGTTATGGGTATCGTGCTGTTACTTACATAGAGAGACAAGAGTGATGAGGAGGGTTAAGATTGAGCTCTGAGGACCTTCCACATTGAAAACCCAGGTAGAAGATGATAAGCCAGAAAAAGGGGCAAGAATGTAGCCAGAGAGGTAGAGAAAAACCCAGTTAGTATATCCAAGATGCAAAGGACAGGGAGCATTTCAGGAAATGGCAATCAGGGTTAAAGGATGACAAAAGGGCAAATGAAACAGAGCTGTCAAAAACACTGAATTTAATGACCCTGAAGACAGCAATGACTTAGAGGGAGCTGCTTTAGAATCTAATGGAGGTATCAGCTAGACAGGATGAAGTGAGGAAAGAGTGGTAGGTGAGAAAGTTATAGGCCAGAAAGTAAAGGGAACACTTTAGAGAATTTTAACTGTGGCAAAAGGAGAGGGGGTAAACCATGGAGAAAAGAAAAGAGTGGGTCGAGGGTTATTTTTTTTAAGAAGTAGCTGCTTGAATATATGTAGTAAAAAAATAGTAGAAAAAAAGAGGTTGAAGATACAGGCACAAGAAGATGTAATTTATAGCAGGGGTGGCCCACTAGCTGTCTTTGTAAATAAAGCTTTACTAGAACACAGCCATGCCCATTTATTTACTTACTGTCTGTGGCTGCTTTCCTGCTAGACTGGCAGGTTGAGTAGCTACCACAAAGACTGTGCAGCCTGCCAACAGGGTGGAGGCTGGAGTGAGGCAAATTGAGCACCTAGGCCACAGAATTGAAGGAAATGCTCAGTCTGCATGCTGACTCTGCGCTTGCCCCATGCTGAATGCGAGCACCCTATCATTTTGCATCCTAGCCATTCTAAGCCCCAGCCATATCCACAAAGCCTAAAATATTTGCTATCTCACCCTTTACAGAAAATAATTGCTGAACCCTATTTATACTCGAAGAGTATTGGATAATTTTTTTGAGCTCTTGAGTGCAGTATACCATTATCCATGGTTTACACTTATCCATAGTTGAATGGCAGGTGGGAGAGCATGGGAACCAGGGAGAGGCAGAAAGGCTGGCAGGATGCCAAGTCACACCTACATATCATGCAAAGGGAGGTGGTGTAGGGCACAGGTACAGCAGGTGTGAAGAGTTGGAGCCTTTGCATCTGCTGGTTGCTCTTCTCCTGAAACAAGGCAGAATTATTTGCTGGTGGGGAGGATCTGCACCAGAGGTATAAGAAGTCTCTAAACTAGTCTGGTTGGTTTGCCTTAGATGGAAAAAATGACTGGGAAAGGGCTCAGTAGTCCCCATCTTATAGTAAATCCCTGCCATGCATATGCCCACCTGAGCAGATGTGTCACTTGCTACATTTATCAATGTTCTTTTCACTCTTATTATGCCCTCTATTTGTTATTTCATGTAGTTGTCAGCCTCACCATCCACGTTTCCAGACTTTTCCAACCTTTTAAAAGTAATATTTGATCATTTCTACAGACAAAATTATATCTGTGTGTGTGTGTGTGTATGTGTGTGTGTGTGTGTACGTGCATCTCCTCAGGGTACATAACAGGAGGTTTTGCTAGTAGTAGACACAGCCTATTATCAATAGTGAGAATTATACCTCACTACACTGTCTAAATTGATCACTCAAAGGAGAAGTACCTAATTATTTTTTATTACCATATATCACCTAGCTTTTTGCTAAAGAATGGCAAGCATCCTCTGAAAATCCTGAAATACTAAAGTTTTGATTTTTTACTTCAAAACAAATTGCATGCTTTTATAGAACCAGAGGTGCAGGCTTTTCAAGTAACATTTCTGCTTTTAATGTAGACTTGGTCATTAGCCCAGTGGTGTTCGAAATGTTGCCATGGATCAAGGAGGAAAACTTTTTAAAGTATCTTTCTACCTAATTTAATGTTAGCTTTTTCTTTCAAAAGAACAACCAACCTTAGAATTATTTTCCCTTGATCATTTAGTTTCATTCATAGGGCTTCTAAAAACAATGGAGAGGTTAGATTCCAACTTACTGCTGCTAGGAGACCTAATTTGTAGTCTAAAAAGAATAATACATCTGATTACATTATTAGTGCCTTTCAGCATGAATCTAAAATATTGCCAATAAAACTCCTGGCCCTAAGGATCCAAGGTATGTGTATACAAACAGATTTATGACAGAAATTCAGAAAGGAAATCTATGTATGTCTCCAAATAAAGCCATCGATTTCTGCACTATGCCCCTTTCCCCAAATTCTCCTTACTAAAGGATTTAACAAATTGTTTCCTGGGCCTCCCACGAGATATTTAGTGGCTGAGTCCACTCTGCATGTGGCCAGTAGAATGGCTTGAGTGTAGGTCACGAGAGTGACAGCCCCAACCTAGCTGGCTGGAAATAGAATGTGGGGATAAGGAACACAACGAAAACAGAGCAGACTCCTTCCCAAGCAGTTCCCAAGCTGCTCCTCTGCCTGTCAGGTTATTCTTGCTGGGAACCTCAAAGTGTGTTCAGTTGACTAAATTTCAGCCTTAGCTTCATGCATCTCTCTATTATAACACCTAATAGTCAGTCTGTTACCATGATTTGCATTTCTGATTATTCACTTCTTCACCGCAACCCATACTCTGAACACCTCAGGAGAAAGGATTGTATCTTTTATAAGCTTTGCGCTTCCCATTGCCTAGCTTGTTGTGGCACGTAGTGCGCAATCAATAAATGCCTGTTGAATGAATGTATAGACTTGAGACATGGAGAAAAACTAGAGACCTAGATGTCTAAGATGTGTGTTTATAAATACTAGTTTTCTTTATTGAAATGGAAACTTGGGCCATTCTGATTAACACAAATGTCACCTTTTTATTTTGATCGATGAGTCAATTCTTCAGAAAACATTCCTTTGAACATGTCTGTCCTTACTTAGGTCTGAAACATAAATGAGAGTGTTCACTGGTCCAGTCAGTCTCTGAAAGTGAATGTCTGTTTTTTTATTCCAGAATTCATCCCGCAGGCATTTGGAATGCCCTTATCCCAAGTCATTGCGAATGACAGGGCCTATAAACTCAAGCAGGACTTGCAGAGGGATGAGCAGAAAGATGCATCTGACTTTGTGGCTTCCCTCCTCCCATTTGGAAATAAAAGACAAAACAAAGAACTCTCAAGCAGTAACTCATCTCTCAGCTCAACCTCAGAAACACCAAATGAGTCAACGTCCCCAAACACCCCGGAACCGGCTCCTCGGGCTAGGAGGAGGGTAAGGTGGCCAGTATTTGCTCTGACACCAGTGCTAGGAAAACTGAAGATGTACAGTTATTCTTTGACTTTTTGTTCATGTGAAAACTGGATATGTAGTTGGTGTTCAGGTGTCTGTCAACAAACTCCATTAATGAAGAATGTGCACTGGGCATGTGGCACCTTGCATAGCCTCAGACATTGTCCTGACTCCTCTTGAAGCTGTTGGTGTCCCTCCTTTGTCACATCTGTGCTGCACGCTCTCCTAAACATTCGACAATATCACCATTGATTCTGGTCTCTTGTAATCTGTCAGTCTTGCCATACTTGCCCACTAGACTGTGAGGCTTGAGGGCAAGGCCCGGTGTTTTAGCTATTAATACTTTCTTCATCACCAGTCTGAAAACATGTCTGGCCAAATTAATTGGTGGTGGGTCTTCCTAAACAATGAGCTTTTTCCTTATCAATGGAGTATTTCTTTTTCTCAAACAGAACCATAGAATCCTCTATATATCCTCTTTCAAATACTCTAACAATATGGTACCAATTGTTAAGTACTATGTTCTAGGTACTGTGCTATTATTTGAATTGTTCAGGCAAACTGGTTGGTGATTGGCTGAGTCGGTTCATAAGCATCTCTAAAGCTTCCAGGTCACTGGAAGATCTTCTCTCCCTTTTTAAAAACAAATCTGCGTTTTATTTTTATCTTTTATTTTTTGTCAGGGTCTTGCTCTGTTGCCCAGACTGGAGTGCAGTGGCATGATCACTGCTCACTGCAGCTTCAATCTCCTGGGCTCAAGCGATCCTTCTGCCTCAACCTCCCCAGTAGCTGGGACTACAGATGCACACCACCACGCCTAGCTATTATTATTATTTAGTAGAGATGTGGTCTCACTGTGTTGCCCAGACTGGTCTTGAACTTTCGAACTCAAGTGATCCAAAGTGCTGGGTTTACAGGCATGAGCCACCACACCTGACCTTCTCTCCCTTTTTTCACTGTCACGTGGAGACCCAAAATTTTTGCCACCTCCAGCTGTTGAAGACTGCCCTAGTTAAAACTCCAGACACTTCCCACTTAAAACCCACATTTTTCAATCAGCCCCTAACATTCAGGGCTTGTCCAAGGTAGAGAGAGACCTGATCCATTGCTGTTTTTGCAGTATTGACTATGTTTAAAAATGAAGAAATTACAAAATTATGGAATGCCTGAATTTGCATGATGGAATTATTCTTCTAATTCTGTCATTGTGTCTCAGACTGTGTATTGTCATACAACAATAACACTAAAACTCTAAATTTTAGCTTTCTGGGAATGTAGGGCTCAGGCAATTGTTCTCCCAAATGCCCTCTCCTCTGTCCAGGCCTGGCTAGCCAACTGCTTTCTCAGTGCTTCATCAAGTATGGGTGTGGCAAATGCGATTGGTTCCCTGCTCCCTTTCCCTGACCCTTTACCATTCCTAGCATGCCAGCTCACCTTCCATCTGCCAACACCTTATTTCTTTGCTGAGGGCTTTCTCTGATGCCAGAGGCACCCAGTGCATCCAAATGGCAGGCTGTAAGTACTTAGGAGATAATATTATCTCTCTGCCCCCACCAGAGGCTGCCCTTAAGAAGTGATTCCTGAGGCTTGGTGTATAAATACCCCAGCTCTCTCACTTGATAGGGATAGCTCTAAGGTGCATGATCTACAGCTGTCTCCTAGAGCTCCCCAGAAAGATTGAACTCCAGTTGCCCACAATGATAATAGACTTGATAATGCTCCCTTCGTCAGCTGCCTTTCCTTCCTTGTCTCATTTCCCCCCTCCCCTATAGGTGTTTCCCAGGACCACCTCTCTAATAAAGCACTTTGTGCTGTTTCTCAGGAAAACTAAGCTCAGGCTGTTTTATGGAATCATTATATTTTAAAAATCTACTTCCTAGAACCATAGTTGAGTTTTTTATTTATAAAACTTCTCTGACTACCTCATTCATTGAGTATGTAATTTTTTTCTTGTTTCAAGAAATGAAGTGGTTGGGCCAAAATACTTTAATTATATGTTTCCCATCGCTTGTTCTTCCATTTGGAAAATTTTGTCTATTGTTGAAATTGTAACTGCCATTATTAGCTTGAGGAAACCTTGTAGAGGTTTTCTAACTTTTTCAAAAGGCATATTTTTTCTTTCAATATACAAACAGAACAATTAAAGAAATCAAGCAATATTATTTCAAGTGTGATAAAGAGTCATGAGCAAAAGTATGTATTGGTTAGCATCTGGGGGCAGCTGGTTTTTTTGGCTATCTGTACTTTATGTTCACAGCTCTGTGTCACTTGCAGGGTGCCATGTCAGTGGATTCTATCACGGATCTTGATGACAATCAGTCTCGACTACTAGAAGCTTTACAACTTTCCTTGCCTGCTGAGGCTCAAAGTAAAAAAGAAAAAGCCAGAGATAAGAAACTCAGTCTGAATCCTATTTACAGACAGGTCCCTAGGCTGGTGGACAGCTGCTGTCAGCATCTAGAAAAACATGGTAAGTAGACTTGTCTGTCTAAAGTACTAAGGACTTTCATTTATTCAAGCATCATTCATTGAAGTACCCAATGTCAATTCTGTGTTCATCTGATCAAGCTCTGAACTGAAATTTCCTGTGTGAAAGTATACAGATGTGAGTGTTTGCTTAAGAGATTGTGGGGCTAAACAAGATTGGAGGAGAGGGTGAATCAACTTGATGATATTCAGACTGCTTCGCTCCCAGTAGTCCTCAAAAGTGACTTTGGAGGCCAAGCAATTTAGTGAAGGATCAGGTCTGTTGGGCTGGGTTTGTCACTAGAACCTCTTTCAAACAGACCAGAGCCACTTTTATTGTTTATACATAAAAGTAGCCTGGGAGGTTACTCACAAGGGTTCCTTTAGAAAGTAAGAGTTCAACTTAAGTGATGATTCCCCAGTTTTTTTTTAATAGAAAATAAATCATTTTTGACAACAGGTTTATATATTGCCATTTGCATTTTTGTGGAAGCTGTCCACTTAAAATTTCTCCAAGTCACCCTTTGCAACTCAATTCTAGTTACTAAGTTGACTTAAGAATGATATACAGTTCTTTAAAAATTTTTCTGAAATTTAGACTTCTGGCTTACTAAACTGCCATTTTCATAAACTAAATTTGTTTGCTGTAGTGTTAGCATACGTGTTATGTACATGGGAAAAGTTTAGTTACTTTTTTACTATAAAAATAATATGCTCATTGTAATAAAGTAAATGTGAAAGCAAAGAAAATTCTGAGGCTACCATATAGACATAACTACTATTAACATTCTCATCTGTTTCCTTCTAATAAAAATGGAACTTTATTTAAAATTTGTTAAGGATATATCTCAATTTCTTAATTCATTATAAAGGAAATCACAGGATAACATATGGATGACCTAATAAATTTGTTTATACCAAATTTTAAGTGTAGGTTCTTTTATGTTTTTTTTACCTTATCTTTCACATGCCTGTGTATTACCTATGTATCTTGAATGTACGTTTCTTTCTCTACACACAAACACATACACACAGTCATGCACCACATAATGACATTTCCCTCAATGATGGACTGCATAGGCAATGGGGATTGCATAAGGTTATAATACTGTATTTTTACTGTACCTTTTCTATATTTAGATACACAAATACCTAAGATTTTGTTACAGTTGCCTATAGTATTCAGCACGGTCACATGCTATACAGGTTAGTAGTGTAGGAGCACTAGGCTCTACCATATAGCCTAGGTGTATAGTAGGCTATACCATCTAGGATTGTGTATGTACACTCTATGATGTTTGCACAATAATGAAATTGCCTAATTTATTGCTTCTATCACTTTGGGAGGTTGAAAACAGGATAATCACACTATTTAAAATAAAATACAGAATTATATTTCTTCATCTGCAAAATGAACATAAGTACCCACCTCAAAAGTTGTGCAATTATTCAATTAATTAATGTGCATGCAGTACTTAGAATAGTGCCTGGCATATATTATTATATAGAGAGAAATAGACTCTGAATGAACCGAATGAATCTTCTATGTATGAAATAGAAAACTTTAATAGCAGGTCACAGTAATTTTAATTTTGGCTGCATGTATTTTTTTATTTTCACATGGTTTCTGAATAATTGAAATTTCTACAGCAGCATGATATCACATAAGGACATTTTCTACACAGGTGGGACTATTCTCTTTCTACCAAGAGATAGAAAACACAACTAAAAGAAATTGAGATGTTTACTTTGTTTCTGGATGTAAAGAAATAATGTTACAAAGATTTAAGGCTGGTCACTGTGGCTCAAGCCTGTAATCCCAACACTTTGGGAGGCCAAGGCAAGAAGATCACTTGAGCCTGGGAGTTTGAGACCAGCCAGGGTAATATAGCAAGACCCCAATTCTGTATCTAAAAAATACAATTCTTTCTGATTTAATTATATATTGTACTAGTCATAAATTTTTCGGTGGCAAGAAAAAGGAACCTAGATAAAACTAGATTAAGCAAAGTGACCTCCCCCAAATAACAACAACAATCTTTATATACTGGGAGACTGATCTAGATTTAGGCAAGCTGGATCCAGGATTCAAATGATGTCATGAGTGTCCTCTGCTGGCTTTACTCTCAGACCAGCTCTCTTCATGTGGCTTCAAATGGCTGTTAGCAGCTCCAATATCCCATCACTCTCATAATTGATTGTCCCAAATGAAGAGAAAATGAGCCACCAGTGAAAGAATATACACGATGCTCATCAATGGCAATAATTAATGACCGGCATAGAAAAAGGAGAACCATTCAGATATTTCATGCTCCCAAAGGAAGTACACAATACTTTTGGTGAAGTATTCTTGCCCTATAAAATCACACCGCAATCAGAGTAATCTCTGGCTCTAGCTATCTCTTTACAGAAAATAAAGGGGAGAGAAGAACATACAAATGACACCATGGAGTGTCCAAATCCAAACAATATGAAGATCTACAGTAGGAAATAGCTGAGATTTCTTCACCAAACCAATTATAAAGAAAAAGGAAACACAGGGAGGAAACACAGATTAAGAGACTAAAAGGCACATCAACTGTATCACAGTGTGTGACCCTTATGTGGATGTTGACTGGAAATTTAATGCATTAAGGAACTATTGTTGACATTTATAGTATATTATAGTGAAATTACTTGTGTTTTTAAGAGACCTAATTTTTTAGAACTGAGTTTCTCAACCTCAGCACTGACACTGTATTTTCACATCTAGGACATGATCCTAGTAAAAGCAATCAGAAATGTGAACAAAAACATGTGCACAGAATTGTTCACAATAGGGTCATTTATAATAGCAAAATAAGCATGTATATTTTGGGGACCTGTGCACCATTCAGAGGGGAATATGGAGTAAATTATGGCCCATTCATACAATAGAATATTTTGCATCTTTTTTATATTTCCATAGATTTTGGGGGAACAGGTGGTATTTGGTTACACGAGTAAGTTCTTTAGTGGTGGTTTGTGAGATTTTGGTGCACCCACCACCTGAGCAATATACACTATACCAAAGTGGTAGTCTTTTATCCCTTTTAAGTGACATCTCCAAGGAATTGTTACTAGCATGAGTGAAAATTCATGTGACATGATAGTGAGGGAAGGGAGTAACATTCTCTCTGTCAATAGATATTTTATATATATATATATATATATATATATATATATATATATATATAT